CGAGAAAACTAAACGAAGAGGCTAGTATACATGAATACTGAGTTGAGTCAGAAAAAAATAATTAAGCAGTTTGAAATTGCTTCCTCTTAATAATGCCGATTTGATCAGTACATCAAAGTAAAAAGAAATCCTTGAACAGATTCAAAGTTAGTTACTTTTGGCTTAAAAAATGTAAATAATGTGCATGAAATTCAGAGTGGATCTTTCTTTAGACAGTAAGGAATAATATTACAACGTTACCTGCAAAATTATAAAAAGATATCAATGTTACCGTACTATTTGAACTGATAAAAAACTAAGGTATTCGAATTCATCTTTTTGAGAGAAGTTATAAAATTTGTATTGATTTTGTAAAATGTTTAATACAATTGCAAATGTAATTTCTATATGGAATAAATAAAAAAAAATTCAATAAAAAATACAAAAAGAAAAAGACTTTTTTTTAAAGTTCCGAATATGTAATGGTAGATTTTTTCCTTTGAAGTTACCTCAAAATATCAAAAATTAAACGAAATGTTTGCAAAATTCCAAAGAATAGCCTTTTTACTTTAAGTATGAAACGGTCATTTAAACGTTTAGGAAAACTCATTTGACAAAAACTACGTGCAAAGCTTCGTCCTTCAAGGTTCAAGCACACCAATAAAAGTGAGTGCAACATTTTAGTGATTGTAGTGATTCTTTTGTGGCCTAGTATCCAGTTTGAAGGCTCTTTTTTGGTCCAAATACTTATCTCTATTACATGGGTAGCGCGTCTTTTTTTATTTATTTTTTTTTTTTTTGAGGGGGGGGGAGGGGTCCTCTCCTCTTTCTGAAGTGAGTAGGAGCTGAAATTTGCTCATCATCCGTCATAGTTGCGCAGTAAATTGCTGGCTGGATTTTAATATTCATTATTACTAGTGTTTTCATGACAGATTATTACACCGGATACGAAATGGAGCTTCCCTTCAAATGTGTTCTCCTTTTTCCAACATTTAAATAACATTTAAAACATTGTAGACTTTATGAAATATTAATTTTAAAACGTCCCACCCAAATGCACTTGCGGGTTGTATATCTGCGCGTCGCACATTTTTGATTCACTGCGCTGGTGTGCAATGCCATGCGGAGCGCCTTCGTCGTTTAGAGTATGCAATAGAGACATCACTGGAGCGCCAATAGTTGCATATGCATCGCGCTGACGGCGCTTTTTAAGTTCGTTCTCATCTAGCTTTCTATTCCATTTTCGAAAATTTTAGCGCAATATACTTTTACTTTTCTAAGTTAGAAATAAACTAGACCTACTTTACGACACTGAATCTATTTCAATCTTTTACTAAAGTGAACAGAGGACTTGTTCCTCTTCGAAAATGGACAAAAAATTTCGTACCCTGAGTATGACGGTTTCGAATGTTAAAAATGTTTTCTTGAATTTACATTCCGAATTGGAAAATTTGTACCTACCGCGTCATTAATCTGGTTTGGTTTTGATACTTTGCAGGGCAGGGTTCATCTAAAATGTTTGTAGAATTTCGTCTATAACTAAATTTTGGTGGTGCTCGTAGTGGCTACTCAGGGATTTAGAACTTTTGGTGACAATAACTCAAATTATCAGTGAGACGAAAAAAACTGATTTTGGAAAGAAGAATTGAACGGGTTTTAGTCCTCTATTTTTTAAATGCTCTCGAAAGGCCAATATTTGGTATATTTTTGAGCGGTGTCTGCACTGAATGACTCTAGAATGACCTCTCTTAAAAATGGTTTAGCGAAATCTTTATTTTTTCTTTCGCATTGAGACACATCTTGCCTGACTTTATGACAAATAATGACCATGGAAATTGAGGAACAAAAACAAAAAGGTTTATTGTTATAGATTTCCTTTATTTTAACAAGAGAGTTACATCAGGAATAATTGAAGCACTGGTTTGAGATACTTACACGCTTTTTTGTAAAAAAATTAATCAATCGATCGATTTATATATATCGACCAGCTTCTCTGTACTTTTACAAAGAAGACAATGATGTGGTATCCGACTGTAAAAAAGTCAGACTGCATGCCTGTATGCTCGGTATGCTAAAGTAAACAATATCTTAGGAGTAAATATTAACATGAAACCTATGATAACATGAGCGAGATCGTTTGTCAGATAATTTACCTTTTTGCACCTTAAACCGAAAGGAAATAAATACATCACAACTTCATATTTATATTCATTTATCCTGATGTCTACGAGTGCATCGCGGTTTCAATAATTTCAAGCGAATAATCTCTCTTATGAAGCATGTTTGATCAAGTAGGTGATATGTATCAAAGCGATGAACAGACACTTATATATATATGAAAAATACCTCTGATAGAATAGGCCAAGTTTAAAAAATAATCATACAGTTACTATACAAGTTTTCTTAGATAAAAATTTACAGAAATGGGTACCTACACGTAGTGCTATTGCACGAATTTTGTCGTGCAGAAATGCGTATTAACGTCAAAGTATGGTAAAAGTCTTTCTGATTCTGACGTACTGAAATTTACTGATGGGATTTAAGTACCGCAATGAAGATTTTATTCATAAAAAAAATCAGGTTCCTACGACGATTCATTTCTACTGTTGTTCATCCATACCATAAAAACGAATTCGTCTAATCACAATTTGGCAAGGAGTTTAACAAAACAACCCCATCTACATGATATGTTTAGAATACACATTCCCGTTTACGCTTTACTAGAACTCAAACAAAACCACTAAATATCAAAGTTTTGATCGGTATGTATAGAAAAAGTAGTTTAGGAAACTTTCCTTTCCGCTAAAGAAATAGTGCATTTAAATGACTGGAGGAATAGACCATGAGATGGGGCTACTTTTCAGAATTCAGTTGCTCACCTGTTAAAAACGGTCAAGCTAAACTGACGACCCTTCACTCAGCGTTTACACACTCAAAATCGTTGCTTAATCTACACATAACTTTCTAAAGGAACCTTCAATGCCGAAAATTTCACTGGGGTCTTTTGCGTGACCGTGCCTCTTTGTTTCGTCAACCCGGAGTTTTTCCTCCTCTTTGAACCAGTTTGCATAGTGTTCCAGCTTTTTCAATGAGTTACCTGGAACAAAAAATTACATCGGTAAAGTAATAATGCTCCTGCGGCAAATTTCTAAAAAGAAAATTGAGCATCATAGAGAAATAGGCATTCTGTAACCAAATATCTAAGTATGATGAAACTAGTGAGTGCTGTGTGATTGGCCCCGGAAATAGTTATCCAGTTTGGCTAACTGTAACCGAACATTCCACGTTCAACATTGCCCAAAACTTTCGGCTTATGGAATCCATTCTCATTTCATATTATAGGTCGACAAAAGGCTGTATGAACAGAAAGCAGAGTCCTTTTTGATTTGACAGCCCGACATTTCGGGTTTGGGCGATACTGAATATCGAATCTTTGGTATACGGCTGAAAGTAATATTTCTCAATACAATTTTAGAGGATGATAAAAATTGCTTAAATGATCCTCCATTGTCCAATACGACTTTACCTCCAACTTTGATCATCATTCGGAGACATAAAATTCAATTTTTTACTTTTTAAAGTCTTACTTTGACACCGACGAAAAAGAATGTTCTGTGGTTACCAGACACGGAAAAAACAAGACTAGTGTTGAGCACTACTGGCCGTTTAGTGGGGAGTAGTTGAGGGCTGGCGTCTAAGCGCTGTACAGCTCAACACCGGAAGGCAGTGCAGGCGGGCGCTGAACATGAGTAGTGCTAATCAGATGCCGCGAGACGTAGTTGCGCTTAACAGGTGTAAATTCACCCATGAGACGTCGGAGTCACGATAGCCTGGTGGTAACGCGCTGGTCTTCCACCGGCGCAACCCGAGTTCGATCTCCGGCGGAGGCGTTTCATATTTTACGCTCGCTCCAAAGTCACTTTAGGGCTTGACACTACTTCTTCCTTAGTGACCCAGCCTCGAGCTGTTTAGTGCCCAGCACTCCTCTGACTTGCTGGCTCCATTTGATCTAACCCTCGTTAGTGCCCAGCACTAACATGTAGGTCCCAACCCTAAGCTCGTTTTTTCCGTGGATATTAATGGGTAGGTAGACGGATGAACCCCAGGAAATCTGGTAACCAATACAAGATTTCTGTCAGTGTTAATTATGTATGTGCATTTGGCTTAGCCAATTATGTGAATATGATAACCTTTGTCAAGAATTTACCACTGACAATCAGTACTAGATTTCCTATCGATCATAATCAGTAATCTAGTAACCACTATCATTCCTCTTTTAAGTCAAGGTCTAGGAAAAAAGCTCATAATTAAATTTCCGACGAAACAATGAGCGTTGGCTGCAACATTGCCTCAATTTTGCGTTTACATTGCTAAATTTCAATTTTGAGCGGTTGATTTTTTTCGTCGAGTATCCTTACCGTGAAGCTGGTCCATGGACTGATCTTTGCCGCCAAAATCTGATGGTAAAAGTTCTTGTGGCACCACTTTGTAAAGTGACTCCCATTCAGAGGATGTGTGGATTTGAATCTGGAAGGGGTAAATCAAAAAATTCATAAAATAATGATCACCGCACTATGAATAGACGGTATAAACAGGTGTATTTTATAATTTACACTTGTTACGTGCTTACCGTCATGCAAATTATGACAATTTAAAAGGCGTGAAAAAGATTGTTCTGCTTTGTCCACCGCGAGGAGGTGGAGATAGGGAAAACGAGTGGACAATATTAGTTCCGCCAAGGATAGTTTCGAACTATTTTGAGTTCGGTTCATCCGAGATTTGGACTGCATTTTGCAATTTGGAACTATAAATTCTGGCCCGGTTTAAGAAAACAACGTATGTGCCATTAGTTTCCCTATGCATATAAGTGTTTTTTCAGACGAGCCAGAATTTATAGTTCCAAATTGCAGTCCATTTATGGTACATATCGTCGGTGAAACTCCCAAACCACGTCCGCTCCTATTTTATTTGCTTAAAGGAGACAAAAATCAATATAATTCCTTGAAGTTTTTACAGAATCGTCTTCGCACTAATTAAGAAAAAAATCTCGGCATTTCTTCCAAAATTGCTGTTGAATAGTTTTCCATATAAAAAATAAAGTCAGAAAGGAGATCGGCAACGTCGCAAACTGAGATACCTATTCGTGGTTTGGAAGTTCCACCGTCGGTATGATTATAAAATAATCTTTATCCCAGCTTGCAAACTATTTTTTGCCAAAAATCGCACATAAAGCAATCCTCCTTAATTTTCTTACTGGCATTCATGATTAAATTCATTCAGTTCCATATGTATGTATTTCCATACCTCTTCCGTTTAACTTTCCACTTTTTACTTTCAAATTATGAAAAAATACGATCATTCATTAAATCACAAAGAAACGCAAAGAGTACCCACCAAATCATAAACTTCCTTCTTCATGATGGGTTTCACCATTGCAAGAATTTGATGAACCAAGGGAATTGCGTTGATAATATGGATTCCCTTGAGTTGCAAAGGCAAGGCATCCTGGAAAAATCAAAGAAATTTGAATAAGCTTTATACATCTCATAGACTCGCAAAAGCGCCCTCGTAAAGTCACATTGCTCCGTGATAGTGCTACTTGAGCAAGAGTAACTTGAACGCCTTCACTTTTTAGTGTATGCAACACGGACGTCCCTTGTGCACAAATAATTACATCAAGGCGTTACTATGAACATTGCACGTTGCACTACGAAACTTGCAATATACGTCTTGCTAAGGTATCCGTTTCTCGAAATTGGTCGCCCATCTGACGCGGGATTTCCATTCCCGCATGAGACCCAGAAAGCATGGGTTTATATGTAAAAAGGGTTCACTTGGAAATGAAGGTACGGTACGCCCATACGTCAAAAGGCCGACGAATTCAAGGGTTTTAGGAAAACTAATCGACCTCTTAACTCAAGAAAGATCTAGTTTGGGTGTCCAAACGGTGTGTAATGGATATTTTTATTCAGCGTTCTTCCTCTTCTTAATTATGAATTTGTGGTAAATCGCATTCGGGCAATATTCTAATTTTCTGGCATTGGAAATTGGAGGACCACAACATTATCACCATGCACTGGAAAAAAAAAAACACATTGGGTCTAGAGTCCAGATTCTTGAAAATATTGACAAGAAAAAATACTTTTGATTCAATCAGATTTAAGCGTAAATCAAGAACCCAGCCTCTTAATTTGAGCGGATTTCCTCTTGATTTAGGCGTAAATCTGATTGAATCAAGAGTATTTTTTCTTGTCGATGTTTTTGAGAGTCTGGACTCTAGAAGATCCAATGTGTTTTTTTTTTCCCAATGTGGCATTGAAAAGTGATCGACATTCATGATTAAGCGTGGGAAAATTATCGTGCTCGTCAAATTCCGTTGCGTGGTTGGTGGTTATGGTCGTTAGCTTGATGGAACGTCCGGGCCGAGTTCATCTAAAATATCTGTATCGCCCACAGGAAGAAAATTACAGCCCCTCGTCATTCATTTTGAGCCAATACTCGATTAACGTGAAATCACCATCAACTAGACCAGAAGACTCGCATCTGGTTATAAATAAGATTGTTGACTCGTCAATTTCAATTTTTTCTCTTTTTAAAAAATGTTTTAAACTGCTTTCTTATGAATGATTCGGGGTTTCCTTCAAAATAAAGGGAGTATTTTCAAACAATCTACACGCACCGATTCCTTTCTAAATTAAATCGTTCACTATGCCCCTTCAATGTTCAACTATACAACTATTTCGACTTGTAGGCGCTATTCCTGCCTATTTAGTCGAGATTAGGGCAAACAGTGCTTCATTTCCTAGAAAAACAAAGCACAGTTTGCTTTCATTGAATAGAGTGAATAAAAGCACACCTTGCTTACGGCATGATACCGTCATATACTCAAGGATTGGTCGAATTGTTTGTCGTATTTCTATAACACTTATTCTGACTCTAATAATACACATTTAATCCACATGAAATTATAATAAAATTGTGTACCTGAACGTAGAGAATGCATTTCTTAACAACTGCTGGATGGAATCTCAAGAAATGACCTAATCCAAAACCGTTCATGTCAAAAAGTATCCGCCATCCTTTGTTGTTGTCAAGTACTTCGTGAGATGCGATATCAGACATTGCAAACATGTATTTACAACATTGTGCCAAATTGAATTTGCTAACGGTAAAATCTTTCAATGAGATCACTTCCAATTTGTGTCCTTCCACCGTTTTGCCCGCCAGAATATTCAAATGCCTGTTAACACACACAGGTACTTAATCAATGTCTTCTAAGTTCAAACTGGACACATAGAGAGGCTTAATAAATAATCACGGATTATTTCATTTTGATTATGCTCAGACATCGAATTAGATGAAAAAGAAGGAACCTAAATGAAGATGCATTCAAATGTACGTAAAAAAGCCACACAAATGGTGTCACTCTTGTAACTTTCGATAAGTACCTACCTAAGCGGGGCAAGTGTCAAAAGTCAAAACATCGAAAATGATTGGTCAGCATGGCATTATTCAAAGAGACGTATTGTAAAAATATGAGAAGAGATTATTTGTTCATTCCTAGTGGCGACGACCGTTTTTTTTTTAAAGAAAAATCTAAAAATTCATAAATTTTAGATTTAAAACATATTTTTCAAAATTATGTTTTAAGAATCCCTTTCTGAGTATTTTTTCGAGTGAAATTCAGAAGCATTAAAATTTAAGTGGGAAAATTGATAAAATAGGGTCTTAAAAAATCTCTTGACAGTTTACAACATTTAAAATGTTTGAAATAATATGCCGAAAGAATTCTTCAAAAAAGAAAAGAAAAAAAAAATCACATATAGTAATGTTAGAGACTCTGTGGCGTAAATTCTCCCTCAAAAATACCCATAAAAGGTTCCCTGAAACATAAGTATTAAAAGGTTTTGTTAGTAATAGGATAAAGTTGAGTCAAAATGAGGGGTGGAAAAACCCCTTAATATACTTACAGATAGTCCGCGATGTTCCTGAACTCATCGACCGTTCGATTTGAGAAAAAGTCAGGTGCATGCGTCCGAATTGTGTAGTGACATTCCAGGAACTTTTTGGTCCTCTCTGTGCTTTGCTGGTTGACATTGAAAAAAACTAGAAGTTGTCGATCTGGAACAATAACAAACAAGCCCATCGATACATGAGGAGTTCAATATTTCATCAAGGAAAGGAGATTGTGCAAAATCGGTTATACAGATACTCAAAGACATAGCAAAGGAAATTTCTTCGACTCGAAGGTGCCGTCCAAAATTTTGACTGCTCCACAAAAAATAAATCGGACCTCTGTGGCTTATTTTCTTAAGACATATATATGCACCAATAAGTTTCCCAATGCAGATACCTTTATGGGAAAGCCAGAAATATTAGTTCCATTAAGGGTGATACCACCTAATCACGTCAGGTGGTTCTCCGATTTTGTCTTCCCTCTCCTCGTAGTTTTACACTTAAAATCACGGAAAGTTGAAGATTTGCGCATGCGCACCTAATTTACAAAAAAGAGACAAATTCAGGAAGGTTTGAGCCTAGTTTAATGGGAAGGAGTAAAATCACATTAAGAACGAACCGAGGGTAAAGGATTTAAAGTTCAGTGGCGAGGCGTGAATGATCGACCATCGATATTTCTCCATTTGAGGCTATGGTAAAGAATCGATCATTAAGGTTGTGCACACCCTGCATATCGGTCCTTTTCCATCGGTTTAAATGACAGATTAATCGATTTATCGCAAAGCCCGCCACGCCACTGTTAAAGTTCCATTCCTCTAAAAGACGTAGTTAATAGTCAATGATGAAATTCAGCGGCGATTTTCAAATTTAAAATATTTTTGCTCGACTTTGAATTTTTGACTGGAAAAAATGAGAGTTTTAATTTCAAAACTGCTCTGAACTCATTTCCCCAAAACATGATTTGGATCTTTCCTATTTTAATTTGGCACAATTTTAAATTTAACGATCGCATTAAAAAATATACGGCCTCAATTAGTTATTGCTGCAACACTCATTGCAACCTAAAAAAAAACGAATGATGTTCGAGGTGTTGTCTGGTTGAGCCGACAATTCCTCAAACTTAATACACAGCTCAACGAAATTCTCTGGCGCTTAACTGTGCGTAACGTATTCATCATTCATAATTATCAAAGTTGGAAATAAGAGCTCTTGTCCAAAACGGAATGTCCCGAAAGTAACGTTTGCAACGCACGTTTATGTACATCGCTTAAACATCTGAGATATTTTGTCTTTGGATGACGGTGAATGTATGGGTAGGTTAGCCACTTTGACCTGGAACCAGCAGACTCACGACAGAATGTTGCAATCGAAATTAACTGTCGGTTGTACAGCTCTAGCCGCAGAATTTCTGTGTGGGACCAGCGATTCAACCTGACTAAGCCGTAGAATGTCCCAGACCCACGTCTTTCAGCAAAAAATTCAATTTTCGGAAATATTTGTTGTAAATCGAAATAATTAGGGAAATATTCGAATTTTGCAGCAAAAAGGACATGAGATGTGCCCCAAGTCTTCTAACAAAAAATGTTTACCCTTCTTTTTAGACATTAAATAATCGGTTTAGTTTTATCTAAAGTTAAATGGTCGCATTTTAAATATAGGTAGTCTGGCCAAAAAATAGGGGGAAAAACAGGAAAAATCGCCGCTAGAAGGAGGGCATAATCCTCAAATAGTTTAAGTTGTAACTTGTCAGTGGAATACCATGTATTTCTGGAATCCAATAATCGTGGACGGGTTCCCAGACTAAAGAACATGGTTCCACTCCAAAGATTCAAAAGTTTAAAGGATTCAAGTTTTCACACGAGTATGACTGAAATCAATTTCCAACATTTTGTTGAACTTTGCGTGTAACTAGACGCAAAATCAGTGAAATTTTCCTTGAGTAGCGCCCGACAGTTTCATAATGAAAATTGAATTTACGTGCGTGAATGTACGAGGGGACGTAGGGGAGACCGGGGTTATGTTGGCCACGGGGCTATGATAACCATCGTGAGAATTTTGTAGAGGAAAATGTAAATTTGATGTTTTGATGAGCAAAAAGGTTGGCAGCGATGTAGACTAACAATTTAAAATATCAACATCGATGGTGTCCCCCTCTGTTATGCTCTGTGCTGTAACATTCTTGTTTACCTTCGAAAATAGCCCGAAAACGCGATTTTTTTAATTTTGAATTTTGTTTGCTGTGGCGAGTATTTATTTTGTATCTTATTAATCTTTGTTTCTATTTGAAGTAGACCCCTTTCCTTTGATTTTAGTGTATGGATTTATGGCTTTTGACTCCTTGTTTCTTAGTTGGATGACTTTGATTTGAGGTAACCTCGATCGGGGCTATGTGGACCATTTTTCTGGGGCTATGTTGACCTACTAAGAAGACATACATTTTATACTTTTTTTTGCGTAAGGTTTCAAATCCATTTTCTTTGAGTTTAAAACGGTCCTATTTAGTGGAGAAGTAGATCTTCTTATTATTTTTTAAGTTGCTTTTCACGCCAACTCACTTATTAAATTTGATACTGTTCTTTAATTTTTTTTTTTTATTTTTAAATTTTCAGCTCCAAAGGTATTGAGTTTTACAAACATTACGAAAGATAAGTGTAAGGGCATAATACTAAGCTTTTTAAGTGCAATTACAATCAACTGAACAAGGTTAACATAGCTTCCTTACAGGTGGCTCACTTAGCCCCGGGGGTGGCCAATATAGCCCCAAGCAGGGGCTATGTTGACCAAAATGGATTTTCTTATAAAAACGCATGAAACTCACAAAATTAAAGTATTTTGTACAATGTTTTCAGTTGATTTTAATTTTACACTATATGCTCAAGGATTAGAGCATTAAAGAAATGGCATTCTATTCTTCTGTTTCTTCAGACACAAGTTTTCAAAAAATCTGGTCAACATAGCCCCGGTCTCCCCTATGTTCTAAGTTTGAAATGTTGTAACGTGCAGGTTGTCTGGTTGTTGTAACGAGGAGCTTTTGTCATTTCCTAGATAAAAACCTGGGAAATGACAAAAGCTCCTTGATTTTTTTCTCCATAATACCTATACCGGCTCCGGCTCTCTGAAAAACTATTTTTTCCGGGGCATGAAGTGCTTGAAATTTGCAAACAAATTGGGATACGATGGAATTTTAGGGAAATTTTTCCAGACCGAGCGTTAAAAAATATGTAGGGAGCAACTTAAGTTTTTCTAACATTATGGCACCCCCGCACAAAAGTGCAGGTTTGTTTTAATATCACGCATTGTAGTCTACATGCACGTTGCGCGTTACTGGTCATAATAGTCATAGAAATGCCATACTCTAAATGACAGATCTTCAGATCCAGAGGGACGTCTGCACTCAAAATGCACTAAATTACTGTCTTCAATATTAAGTAATTTGCACCTAAAATGAAGAAAAATTTCATATAATCACAGTCATAATACCTTCAAAAGTGTTCATGATTGAGGTAATACGAGTATGAGGTAATTTACAAACTGTGTGGGCTCCATTGTCCTCATTCCGCGTTACATCTCAGAGACTTTAACGATAAGGTAGCAAAGTTAATGGATTTACTTCTGCTGGTTAATAGTCAAATCAAGCATTTTGCCGCATGCTTAAACATCTAATAAATTATTCTATACGTTAAATTGTAGGAATAAGATTTTTTCCTGATTTTTCAACCGAAAAATAACCAAAGGCATGGATTAAATCATACATTAAATGTCCTACTACATTGTGATATTTTGAAGAAGTTTTAGCTCTGAGCGCGCGTCTACTTCAAGATAGCTTAGTTTACTGTAAAATACAGATTATTTTAAAGTTTGAAGGGGAAATGCATACGATTTTGAACTGCCTCATTTTAGAGGAATAATTGGTATTTTCATCAATTTTCTCACGAAGTGTTGACAAATTCAATCCTTAGGGGGAAAAAACTTGGTAGGTTTTCAAATTTAACAGTTGACCTAAGCCTAAACTGCCAAATTTGACTATGTGTGTAACATCTGTGCAAATATCTCGGGACAGAGTGCTAATTTAAAATTCAAGATGTAAAAATTACTCTTTTTTCCTTGTGCAAAAAGTTTGCCATGACAGATCACTGAATTTTGAATTGAATTAGCCACAAGGTAGATGACTTATGAGTGAATGATAGCGTTGATGAAATCGCCGCATTCCAACGAAGCGATTTCGCGATTGCCCCATCGACGTAAACAGAAAGCCGGCAACGGGGGAAAGACACAGATTCTAGGTGAATGGTTGGGGGCTGAGGTTGCCGTGATT